GATGTTTATATATTATGTATGCCTTATATTTTGATCGATAATGTGTAGGAAAGAAACTACTCATTGCATAAACTCTGTTGTTAACCCATCTTAGCTATGTTTCATCTGCAAACTATGCTAATGAATGATGTCAACACATTTGCTACTTATATACCTGTTTGGGAATTACCTTCATCTTTTGGTGATATGCTTAGAAGGAAAACAGAGTGTTAACAGTATGGGGCACTGTGTACCAACATGGTGCGATGGGATAACACACTGCGCCATGCAAAGGTAAGCCTATATTTTTGCTATACGGTAATAAAGTAAAGAGAGGAAAGAGAGGTTGAATGAAAACTGAATGAAGAAGAGCCTTTTCTCCCCTTAGTAAACCAATCGTGACTTACATTGTGGCAGGTTTAATGAGACAGTACCGTACATTAAACTCTCACATATGTATGAAATGCAGCAAACTACTTCAAACTGCACAGGGGACATTGAAAACTGTCTAACTATTATAACTATGATGGTCGTACAATGTATGTGTGTATTGACGTAGACCCTGAGTCAGTTCCTCAGGTTTAATGAGACAGTACCGTACATTAAACTCTCACATATGTATGAAATGCAGTGAATGAGTCTTGCACTGCACAGTAAACAGGGCCACATCAGAAAGAGTGGGGGTGGATAAGAACACATTGCGTGAGGGAGAGAAAACATGCCTGCGCCCTGTGCGAACTCACTGCTTCCACTCCCCATCCAGTATACAATACTGTAATGCTGTATCTTGAAGAAGAAAAGACCTAGTCAAGCAGTTTGAGCAAACTTTGGGGGCAATAAAAGGCCTCTCACTTCCATTCACCCCACTAGCCAAAGCAGATCACCGACGGTAACTATCAGGAAGAAATGAAATGTTTCTGGGCCTCAAAATCCTTCTGGAACTTGGCATATTGACTGGTTTCATTGCAGTCAGTGTCGACACAAGTCAAAATGAAAGTTAGAGAGATATGCACGGAGCAGATATGTTACTTTCACTGCTGTTTTCCGTTTTGCAATCTCACAGGCTCAGGTTCTTGTCCACAGTTGGAGCTACTGAGGTGAAGAGATGGGAGAGAGGGAGCAAAGGGAGAAAAGGGAGGAATACTGCCAGTTGGAGGAGCTGTCTACACTCGCTGGGGAAACATAACCAGGGAGTAGAAATGAAGATGACGAAAATTCTCCATGGCTTTGCCTACTTTGTGTGCATTGGAGGGGAGTTTAACAAAAACTCTTTGTTTGCAAAGTTTGGCTTGTATTACTTTGAAAAATCACCCTCTGTGCATATTACAGTGTGTGATTTCTGGATGAAGGTAAACTAAGCGAACGTATTCACAAACTGAGTATAAAAGTTAGCTGGCTGTATAACTAGCTATGGTGGAGCTAGAAAACGATCTCCGCGAATAAGTAAAGTACTATCATCTGCCATTATCTTCATAGTATTTACTGAAGAAAGTGTTTACGAATAAATGTCCTACTGTTTTATTTTGCCATGTTTATCCTCAAAGAGTTATTGGCAGAAAGTATTGCGGCATTGCAGTGTGCCAGTAAACAGAGCCACGCCGGCAAGATAGGGTGACTATGACTACATTGCGTGAGGGTGAGACAACAAGCATTGCGTGAGATTAACCAAACTCTCGGCTTCCGCTCTGCAGTCACAAACTGTAAACACAGTACTAGAGATACAAGATCTTATGGCACACTCCTAACTGAGCATCTTGGGGGAGAAGTGGAGGGGTATAAAAACCTGTGGTAAAGCTCTCTTATACTAGAGAAGAACTATAGCAAAACAGAATCACCGAAGTATCACTGGGAGAAGAAAAATTTTTGTGGCACTGAAAAACCTTGTGCCACTTGGCATACTGGTAGCAATCATATGTGTCAGTGACTGTATAGGCCATGATGAAGTTTAGTGAGAAGATGTATGCACAGACTCATGGAGACTAGATATTCCCATTTCTGTTTTTCGATCTCACAGGCTCAGGTTCTTGTCCACAGTTTGAGCTACTGAAGGGATGGGAGAGATGGGAGAGAGGGAGAAAAGGGAGAAAAGTGAGATCCAGGAATATTGCCAGTTGGAGGAGCTGTTCACGTTCGCTGGGGAAACACCACCTGTCCACCAGGGAGTAGAAATGAAGATGGCGAAAATTCTCCATGGCTTTGCCTACTTTGTGTGCATTGGAGGGGAGTTTAACAAAACTCCTTGCAATGTTTGACTTGTAGAAAATTCTCTCCGTGCATAGTATAACTTGAACCAAAAGCAAGTTGTATATGTATGATTTCTGGACGAAAGTGTTCAAACTGAGCGAACGTATTCAGACCATTAATGAGAAGCTAGCTGGTTGCATATTAACTAGCTATAGAGAAAGAAGAAAATGATCTTCATGTGAATAATGTAAAGTACTATCATCTGCCATTATATTCTTATGAGCTAGTTGTGTAGTTACTGAAGAAAGTGTTTGGGTCTAAATGTCCCACTGTTCTATTTTGACATGTTTATCCTCAGAGAGTTATTGGTAGAAACTATTGCGGCATTGCAGTGTGGCAGTAAGCAGAGCCACGCCGGCAAGATAGGGTGACTATGACTACATTGCGTGAGGGTGAGACAACAAGCATTGCGTGAGATTAACCAAACTCTCGGCTTCCGCTCTGCAGTCACAAACTGTAAACAAAGTACTAGAGATACAAGATCTTATGGCACACTCCTAGCTCAGCATCTTGGGGGAGAAGTCGAGGGTATAAAAACCTGTGGTAGAGCTCTCTTCTGCAAGAACTATAGCCAAGGAGAATCACTGAAGTATCACTGGGAGAAGAAAATGTTTGTGGCACTGAAAAACCTTTTGCCACTTGGCATACTGGTAGCAATCACATGTGTCAGTGACTGTACAGGCCATGATGAAGGTTAGTGAGAAGATGTATGCACAGACTCATAGAGACTAGATATTCCCATTTCTGTTTTTGAATCTCACAGGCTCAGGTTCTTGTCCGCAGTTTGAGCTACTGAGGGGAAGGGATGGGAGAGATGGGAGAGAGGGAGCAAAGGGAGAAAAGGGAGAGGTCAGGAGTATCGGTCTCCCTGGACCTCAGGGAGAGATGGGGGCTCCTGGTATTCAGGGGCCAATAGGAATATCTGGTCCCCGGGGGGCAGTGGGGGAGAGAGGTGAGAGGGGAGAGAGGGGGGAGAAGGGAATGAGGGGAGACCCTGGGCTAAGAGGTCGTCAGGGGGAACAGGGAGCCCAAGGTCTGCCAGTCGGAGGAGCTGTCTACACTCGCTGGGGAAACACCACCTGTCCGATCGGCCAGGGAACACAGCTGGTGTATTCTGGAAGAGCTGGGGGGACAAGATATGATCAAAAAGGAGGGGCAGCCAACCATCTCTGCATGCCAGATGATCCGGACTATCTCCAGTACATCAGTGGAGTGACCAACAAGAATTTCGTGGCCCCTGTTGAGTATTATTTCGCTACAATGCCATCTCTGTCTCAGTCCAACCACCACAATGTCCCCTGTGCAGTGTGCTATGTAGCCACCAGAGGCACTGTACTGATGGTTCCTGCCAAGACCCAGTGTCATACAGGCTGGACCAGAGAGTACTATGGTTACCTCATGTCTAACCATCTTACCCATGCTGGTCGTACAATGTATGAGTGTATTGACAAAGACCCCGAGTCAGTTCTTGGACTGAATGCACTCAGTGACCCAAGGTCTATCCTTGACTTCAATGAGGCATACTGCAGTGGATTCTCCTGCCCTCCTTATAATGCAGAGAAAGAACTGACGTGTGCTGTTTGCACTCGTTGAAAAAATATTTCAAGACAATGTAGCATAAAACAGACACAAACATTGTATGTAGATTACTAAGACTGTAGTTATGAGGTATGCCTTTTACTTTGATGGATAATGTGTACAAAAGAAACCACTCAATGAAGTCATTGGTGGTGTTTGATGAAGCAATACTGGAAAAAAAAACCAGAGATATTCAGTGTGAGATTGTCTACTGGTGGCCACGTCATAAAAAAACTTGCTTGTCAAGATTATACTTATCACATACACTGCAGTAGTTCTTGCTGTAGATAAATCCCCACTGATTTAGTTAAGATACTATCATATAGCTATGTTTCATCTGCAAACTATGGGCTAATGAATGGTGTCAACACACTGTTTGAGAATTACCTCATCTGCACACATAGATCTCTATAGCTGAGCCACTCTAAGGAAGCCCCTTATGTTTAGCCACAGGCTGAAAATACCCTCATTAGTGCAAGTATTCAACCTTAATTTGATAATAAGGTATCACTTGAGGACTAATAGAGATTCTCTAACACTGACTAATGCTTGTAAATAAGCGACCAGTTAGGATGCTAAGAATTCTAATGCGGAGGAATTCAGTTGAATAATTACTTCAAAAATGTAATCAGAAACTTGATACATGCAAAAGAGTGGGAGAAGAGGGAGATTCAGGGGAATATGCTGCAATACATACTGAGCGAGAGTTTACCATACCATAGCACAGCGGTTTGAGGTTTGCCTTGTGTTGTGTTGAAGATTTGAACCCCTACCAGCTGAGTTGCCCTGGTAGCTGGTAGAGCGCTTTCCTAGACTGAGAGTGGGTTTGAAAAGAAAGAGCTGTCCTGGGTGTAGTTGACTTGTTTGCCTTGCCTTGCCTTTCTACCTCGTTACCAAGTTGTTGAGACATGCATCATTGAGTGCTCTGTAACAGAGGTCAGAGTGTTGTGGGTTCGAGTCCCACCCAGGAGAGCTCTTGTTCTTTGGGAAAACGTCACACGTGCAGCTTTTAACAGAGATTGTGCCACAAAATATTCGCAAAAACAGCACAGCACTCAATGAAAGTGTTAGACGTCATTTAAATGTAGTTACTTTTGCACCGCATGCATGATTCATACATTTAACATAGAGTGAGCTGTGCCTAAGACTCCTCAGTATTACACTTTATGACACATATATGAAACCTATATAGTTTAAGAATGTCTTATACAAAATTGTACCCCATATCTAAACCCCTTAATTAACAGTGACATAATTATATTCACACTCTGTTTTTACTATTGTATCATCACCTGCGTAAATGTGTATAATACTGCAATAATAAGGTAAAGTAAATAAAGTCACCACAAATAAACAAGTGTAGACTGACCTGATTATGGCCTGTGGATACGTCCCAGCTGAGGAATGATCTGAAGAGACACACACATACAGAGCTTATAATTATGTTAAGTCTTTCTCACTGACTCACTGACTCAGTGTAACTTTGGACGGTACTTACACACAACAAGACCTTCACAGAGAAAACATTCCCAAAGAATTAGTGCAATCCTTGGTCTCTCAATACTCAATTTCTATTAGTCTATAGCCAAAGATATTGACAGAGTAATAGAAATAGTACTGAAATGTGGAGTAGCTACTTGTCTGGGACTATCAGTCTACTGGATTTCCAGTCACACTGTGGAAGAGTGCGGCTCCCAAAAGAAGCTGGCTATTTCTGTTTCTCCCAGCCGTACTGTAAGCTAAAGTTTACATAGAAGAGCGTGTCATTTGTTTGTAACTCTGTTGCAAAATGCCTCTTCCGCCAAATGTGTTCAGTGAGTGGTTGGATTCAGTTTTACTCGATGCTGTGACTGGTTGTCCTAACTAGGAGACGGCAGGTGAGTGGCAAACTCTTTGACGCGAGGGGAATTGCATCACTGAAGCTCTCCTGTGTAATAAACAGTTGTCTGGAGGATAGGGTATTTGTGTGTCCATCTTACATGCAAACAACTCTTAGCACCTTACCTCCAGTCACCACATACTCCACTACAATATCGTGCAAATACTGATGGAAGGCTTTTGATCTCGGTACTGCTGAAACAGAGGCCAGAGAATGTATGTTGACTGTAGAGGGGATGGTCTAGTTAACTAGCTCTGTAGGCACTGCCACCCACAACAACACACCAGAACACATTCATATGCAGAGGGACTGATTAGTCTGTGTTGTTGCTTCGGCTAGAAAAAGGAATGCAAAATATCCCGCCCTCTTCTGCTCTGTCTTGTTAACCCTGTTCTCTAGTCTCTTACCTGGCCACTCCACCCACAAGGGGAAATGAGCATCTGGGAGCTGTTGATGCAAAACCTGGTCCTAAAGACCCTCAGATAGACAAACAAAAACCCTTGTCTGAACTGCCTACCTACCTACCTGGTCTTCTCCTCATTAGAGTACCACGACAGGTGGGAGAAGGACACCTCAAACCTGAGAGAAGACAGAGATAATGCAGAGATTTTCAGTGAGTCCATGCGAAGGAATAGAGTAGTGTGTATACCAAACCCTTCCTTGAGAAACAATGTCTTACACTCGAGTGGAATGCGAATGCTTAACCCTTAGCAAGCCACGGACATAATATAAATGTGCCCAGAGCCTCCATAAACCCATAAGAGTTCATATGGGGGTTATAATAATGTGTTATAAATTGAATTTCTGCTTATTCAAGGAGATACCCATGGCATTCAAAGGATTATGAATTGGACATTTGTTCTGTTATTAGATCCAAAGACAGCGCAAGGAAGCTAGAGTTTTCATCAGTATCAAATGAACTCAGAGGCAGTATTAAAACCTGTGGTGTGTAGAGATGCAGTCTCTCAATGCCTGAGTCAGAGGACTGATGACGTGGAATGGAATGGGGACAGTCCTGGACAGACTGAGGTGGAGCTCGCTGGCCGGGAACTGGTGGATAGTTACAGAACCTTCCGGAACACTTGTGGTTTTCAGGTACTGCTGAAGATCATTGATACAAGAGACAAAGCTCTTGGAGAACTCAACTGGGGAAGAATTTTAGGTTTAATTATTGGGGAAGCCCCTGAGATGACGGAGCTTGATTGACTGACATGGAATGAAGACGTGAGTAGCCCACTGACCCCTGACATGGGGGAATGACCTCGCTCTTCCGTCATGGCAACCAGCATCATCAACAGCACCTAAAGAGAACAAAAAACCCAACGTGCAACAAAAATAATGAGTGCTTGCATTCTGTACATTCTTGCATTTTGTCGCCTCTATTTATATCCAGAGACACTTTTTCTACTGGCATATAATTACTCACAAACAAAACATTTATGTGTATGCACTCATTAAAAATACAGTGTGTAAGGTGGTGAATTAACTGACTTACAGTGTTCCTGGTCTTGGAAAAGAGATAGCAGTGAAGGAGGGAGAGGAAGAGGAGAAGACCTGGGGGAACAAGATGGCAGTCAGTGAAGAGAGTCTGACTGAAGAGAGAGGGGGAGAGAGGGGGAGAGAGAGAGGGAGAGGAAGAGGAGAAGACCTGGGGGAACAAGATGGCAGTCAGTGAAGAGAGTCTGACTGAAGAGAGAGGGAGAGAGAGAGAGAGAGAGAGAGAGAGAGAGAGAGAGAGAGAGAGAGAAGAGAGAGAGAGAGAGAGAGAGAGAGAGAGAGAGAGAGAGAGAGAGAGAGAGAGAGAGAGAGGAGAGAGAGAGAGAGAGAGAGAGAGAGAGAGAGAGAGTAGAACCCACTGCTCCGTCAGATGATGATCTTCATGGTCTAATCTTTGTCTCTTACACAGAGGAGGAGAGTCCGCAATATCTCCAGTCGGAGGATTGTTTTTAGTCAAACCCTTGGTTGCACCACTGTCTCTGAGCTTTCTCTCTCTGCTTGTTCTGGTGCTACTCTTGCTCTCTCCCCCTCCTCCCTCTCCTCCTTGTGTTCCTCCCTCTCCTGCTTCTCCTCCTTTTTCCTCTTCTTCTTCACTGCTGCTAGAGTAAGCAACAAGTCCCACCCCTTCATTATATCCACCTAAACTAAGGTAACAGAAAATAAGAAGTTCAATAGCTTCCAAATAGAGAGAAAGACAAGTTCTTACTGGGTCATTGGCCACATGAGTGAAAGAGTTTGCGCATGCGCGAAAGATCCGAGGATTCACGTGATCTCTGAATGACGTCAACGCACACCGGAAAAACATGGCGGTGCGTTCGTGAGTTCGTCGGAAAGAGGGCGTCTTTTCCACTGCTGTGAGCTGGTTCAGGAGTGCGGCAGCTGAGGGATCGGAGGGGGAGCGGCGAGAGAGCGAGAGTGTGGAAAGGGAAGGATAAGCGGTGAGGCGGGAGGAAGGAATAGAGGTGGGAAATCGTCGATTGTGAACTGATTCAGCTAGGCAGAGCCGTGTGTGTGGTTACTGCTCACAGGTAGAGCATAAAGTGGTGTGAGAGAGCGCGGGAGATGGTCTTGGCTGCAGGGAGTGAGGGCTGTGCGTGCAAACGACTGGCTAGCTGCTGGTAGCTGTAATTACACGCATGCGCTAGTTGGGCGTGGTGCGCCGGCTGTTACAACAGAATCTGTATATAGGGCAGCAGAGAAAAGAGATGGAATGCTCTGATGATTTCATATCTGGAGCCTAGCCACTAGGACTTATATAAATTCTCTATACATATGTACATACTGTACACACATATGTACATACACATGTATGACACTGGCGGTGTGCGTTTTATACTGTCTTGACATGGGGCAAAGAACTGTTGTTTGTATTGCTGTGTATCTGTGAGTTTTGGGAGACTTATGATAGCAAGAACTACAGCACCTTAGCCACAGCTGCCATTTGCAGTATTGCCACATTACACACTATACCCATTGTCTGTAGAGCGTAGAGTGTGTGTTGTAATAATGGCCACTACTCCCTGTGGATTAGTGGCAATCTAAATTTGCGCGTGAAGTTTTTACACACAGGCAGTCACGTTTCTAAACACAAGAGCTCCACTGTTTTCTGCAATGTGTGTCTACATGCTACACCGAAATTTTTCTTCATTTCTCTCTCTCTCTCTCTCTCTCTCTCTCTCTCTCTCTTCCTGCTCTGGATTTTACTAAAGAGGTCAGAGGTCGTAACCATGGCAAAGTTTGGAGAAGCGATGCGAGGACTGTCAGTCTTCATCACTGACATACGAAACTGTGAGTCTACGATGACGTCATTGTGATCTCATTTGTAATGATGCAATGATGATGTAATTGCTACAGGTAAGAGTAAAGAGGCAGAGAGGAAGAGAATCAACAAGGAGCTCGCTAACATTCGCTCAAAGTTTAAAGGTAATATAAATTCATTCTCTTATGTACTATGTATAATATATATAATATAACATAGCTGGAAACTTGAGAGATAGAATATGTTTGGGACACAGTAGCAAATGAGAAAAATTTTTGCTGTTCCTTTGCACATGCGTGACATCAGTCGTCTGAATGATGTGACTGGCCCTGCACGTTCTATTCGTTTGTGATTCTAAACACTTACGAAAAATTCAACCAGAGGATGCATATAGACTACAGAAGTAGTATACTAGTACAGAAGTAGTATACTAGTACAGAAGTAGTATACTAGGTGAATGCAGTGACATAGTGAAGTGGGAGATATATTTACTTGTAGTCCAACTTCAAACAACCCGGTGCTAGGAATATACGCTGTATTCTGAGCTGTAGGCTGCGGGCTGCACCGGTATCAGTATTGGACAGGAAGTCCTTATCACAACATCTAGCGCTAGGTGTAGTGCAAATTGTCTGGCTTCCAAAGTTTACACAACAGTCCATTAGTACATTAGTGCAAGATGACGCAGAAGAAATTCAGCATTGTGATTGGCTAGTTGGACTACAAATCAGTTAACGTCAGGCGTCTTGGCGGGTACAGGAAATCCTCCTCGGCTGTTAACTATACCGCGCTTCAGCCCTCGTCCGGTATAGTCAACAGCCTCGGAGTATCTCCTGTACCGCCTCGCAGCCTATACGTTAACTAATACATATGTCCCCACCTCACCACGAATACGTTTTATAGATGGTTGAAAAAACGTGGAATTTGCAACACATTTTTATCAGCCACCTAACTATGAAGGCATTCCTCTAGCTTGTAGTTCAAGTGGCCATGTACGAGAGTGTTACGCAATATCTTTACTGGGAAACATACGCTGCCTGTTGGCTGGAATGTTGTTAATTAGCAACTAGGCCATCCGATAGTTTCACGTTCCTTGCAGTCCCCACATCACCACATGACTTCTTCAAAGTCACCACATCACTGGGTGCTATTTCCTCTGCCATTACTACATCTCCTAATTCCCCTCTTCCTGATTAACCATCTGTCTTCCTCCTGACATTGGTCTGTCTTCCTCCTGACATTGGTCTGCAGGGTTTCACATTATACAGATCCTACAATTTCTATGAACAAAATCCTGGCAATTATGGCCTCACCTGTGGTGGTGGTGGTGGTGATTTCCCCCAAAAGCTCTGCTTGAAACGCACTTGCTATACTATAATTATATTCCCTCAACCACAAGTTAGCTAAATTTAGTATGGGATATATGCACTAGGTTAAATGTAGTCTTCATCTGTGTCATAAAGTACATTTGCCAAAACCATCGAGTTTTGTTTGCTATACACGCGCATAGCGGAAGATCTATATTTGCTCTGAATGGTATCTTTTTCCCAGAGAGGGTCACATATGCACTATTCCTATGGGCTTCTATGGGAGTAATGTATATACAGTGTAGACTACGAGATAGAAAGGCAAAGGCACAACAAACAAGTCAACTACACCCAGGACTGCTCTTTTGAAAAGG